CTTGATGGTGACCATTTTATATTTGGCTTCTTTTATATTTTCAGCTCACTGCAACTTTGATGATCCTAAAACTTCACAGCTCTTTGAGTTTTTTTGACTATCTTAATTTTAAAAACTATGAACAAAAACAAAAGCATCTTTATATGAATGAACGAGGAAGAAACTAAATCAGATCACCACTTTACTTTTGTCCCTGTATGATAATTACCATAAAGGATTCAACACTGCGCGGCAGGTCGTCCTACTGCACAGAACAGGTTCGTACTGAATAGGAGGTAAATCAGGCCTCTCTTTCAGTGGTGTAAATAGGGCTGCCACTGGGACAACCATTCTGGTGGCCTCCAGCCGACTTGATGGCCAAACATTCCAACTGAACCGGACTCCATCTCGCTCTTCATTTTGTTGGATGAATTCCAAATAGGTTGTCATTGTAGAGCTTGATTCTTACTTCTATAACAAAATCAGAAGACATTTTAAAATCCAGCACCCTCTTGACATTCAAAGTAAGTTTTCCCAAAGTTAACAATGCTAATATATTATAAATCATGATCAAATCAAAATATATATATCTCAGAAAGCAATTTCCAAGTAACAATAACTCTCCTTAAAATGAATAAGTACTAGCTCCGATTGCAAACATTCATTAGGCCAAATGAGAGGTATTTCACTCTTTTTTTTTTTTTTTTTTGGAAGTACAGCAAAAAATAGTAAATGTCCTTATATATTTCTTTAAAGGTACATAAGGAAAAAGTGGGCAGGAGTCATAAATCTAAATCCTTGTTGTTGCTCTTAGCCAGGATTGAACTCAGGCCCTTGAGCTTGCCAGACAAGTGCTTATTCTACTGAGCTATCTCCCCAGCCCCCGTTTTGGTTTTTTGAGACAAGAGTCTTGTTCCAGGCTGACCTGGAACATACTATGTAGCCCAGAATGACCTCAACTTCACAGCAACTCTCCTATCTCAGCCTCCCCAGTGCTGGAATTACTAGAATAACCACCATATCCTATATGAACCTAGACTTTATGCTTTTAATATCAGCTTGTAAGTTGTACTATTCTCAAAATAAATATAAAAATCATAAAACTCTACAATTACATGGTTTCTATGCAGAAATGCTAAGCTCCCTAAACTTTCTATAAGAGAATATTAAATAGCACATTAAAAAAAGATTTTCATAAACCCTGGTATATAAGCATTGGACAAGTAATTTTTACTGTGCAAATGTAAGATATTTGTAACACAATAAGCAACATGCTTATTACATGGAATTCTCAGTGATTTACCTATCATATAACCCCTTCTGCAGAGACAATACAAGAAAATGTTTACATTCCAACTTATGAGAGCATTTGAAACTCTAACTGGGGATACATTATTCCAATATGTTAAATTTACCACCAGAGGAAGAGGGGGCCATCCTGGAGAAGGTCTAACATAAGGAACAGCTCCCTACCTACGATGTCAGCTTTCCCACCTAGGCATCCTTCCATCTCATGCTCTCAAACTGCAACAATTAAGGTAGCCATGGAAAGAGACTAAAGAACCAAAAATATAGGAGGATGAAGAGCTTCAAGTGCTATGTGACAGCAATGAAGTTAAAAGAGGTGAATAATGAATCTAAGGTGTCAGAAGAACCACTATGGATGTTAAAGTTGATAAGAAAAACAGTGAGACATGATTAAGGAGACAGATGTGGTGGTGCATGTCTATACTCACAGCATTCAAAAGGCTGAAGCAGGAGGATCAGGATCACCATGAGTCCTAAGCCAACCTGGGCTAGACAGTGAGTTCAAGGCCAACCTACACTATAAAGCAGGACCCCTTCTCAAAAAAATAAAAAGAAAATATAATTTCTTTTCTTTTTTTTAAGAAAATATAATTTCAAAAAAAAGAAACTTATGTAAAACAATTTTAATTTTAGAAAAACTTTCATATAGATTTTGATAATACAAATTACAGTAAAAGAAGCTTAACAATCTAAGCACTTTAAGTGGCTAGGAACTTTCCATTATTTTCTTTTCTTTAAAAGAGATAAGAAAAACGTTAAATAAAAATTGCCTAGGGGCCTGCCCCTTAGCTCAGTTCTTTAAGTGGCTGCTTCAACAAAGCAGTCAGGCTCAGGTTGCTGTGGTTCGATCCCCACAACACAAGCCAGCCAGTCATGCCTTGAAGGCATTCGGAGAAAAAAAAAAAAAATTGCTTTATTTCACTCATGCCAGAATCTCGGAGACAACTACAGAATATTACACTAATCAAATGAGTGTACATTTTACAGGCATATACTGGATAGAGGAAAATCCTAAAATAAGACTAAACTATAGTGTAAATGTAACAGTATGAGTTTTTAAGAAAAGTGACTATTGAATGATAACAGTAACACAAGGGTCTGATCCCAGCTACAGAGCACACTGAGGTAGTAGAATCCCAAACTGGAGGTCAACTTGGGCAACTTAGCTAGATCCTGTCTGAAAAAGAAAAAAAGAAACGGCCTAGGGATAAAGTATGAAGGCCCTAAATTTCATCCCCAGTATCACTTGAAAAAAAAAAAAAAAAAAAAAAAATGGTAGCAATAACCACGTCCAGAGATGTAAACTAGTTTTACCAAACAGCTTCTATGTTACAAATGTGACTATAAATTCTAGGACTATAATCCCTCCCATTACTTCTCCTGAACAAAAAGAAAAATTAAATTTCTGCACTTATAATTGCACCTATAGTCTAAAACATCTTCAAAAAGCACTAAAATTCCCACTAAAACACACTACACCAATCATGGTTGTTCACTAAACACAAAACATGTTTGGGGTCACTACTTTCTCAATTCTGCCAAACTGAGAAGTACTTCATACCTATTCTCAAAAGTGGACAAAATGAGACTGTCACATTGCTTCAAGGAAAATAACTAACAATATTCACTGCTAGTAATAAAATCAGAGCTTGCAAGCAAATATTAAGGTATTTATAATCTTGGATCCATACCATGAGCTTGATACCTTCCTAGCAAGTACAAATTTTTCTAATGACAGCAGTGATTGAATTAATGTGCTTTTCTGACATTGTATATTTAAACTTGAACATTTGGAGGTCACATATTACTCAATGAAGCAGTATCTCCCAATTTACAATTCTATAACGCCACATATGGTAGACGAACTATTTGAAGTGAAGAGTAATCAATGGGTTTTAATATGAGTGCAAAAGTTAACTTCTAGCCCAGTGCAGTACCACATGCTTATAATTCCAGCACTTGGGAGGTTTAGACAGGAGAATCACTCTAAGTTTGAGGCCAGCCTGGGCTACAAAGTGAGTTCAAGGCCAGCCTGAACTGCAGAGCGAAACCCTGTCTCAAAAGGACAAAAAACAACAAAAAATTCACCTCTAAGGTTACAGATTCCACACTGGAAATAACCTTTAATGTTTTAATTAAAACTATTGGGCTGGGCGTGGTGGCACATCACTGCATCCAGAGGATCCCTGTGACTTCCAGGTCAACCTAAGCTACAAAGTGAGTTCAAGGCCAGCCTGAACTGCATAAGGAGACCTTGTCTCAAAAAGACAAAAACCCAGGATTTGGTGTGATACCAAACAAGAACATGCATAATTATCTGAAAAAGCTATTTTAAAACATCCTCTTTTTCTAACTATATATCTGCATAAAGCCGAATTTCCTTCATACAGTGTATTCCAATAGACAGTAGAAATAGTTGTGAAAACCTATCTTCTATTAAAATGCTTTTCTTCTGTAGATACTCAAATACATGATATTGAAAAGTACAAAGGGATCCTATGAACCGGCCTTAAGACAGGTAGGGAACCTCCCTGAGAAAGGCTCTGGGATTCTGGGCAGGAAGATAATGACAGTCCACAGCCCGATTTAGGTTTCTACAAGAAACCGCAGACTGGATCACAATTCTATATTCTTACTTTGTATTAAGACAATATCACTAAGCGCTAGTAGAGCACAGTTCTCTTCACATTTTTTCCTCTTAATCATTCTGCTTCAATATCCCATTTGCTCAGTAAATCACATCCCTTATGTTTCTTACATTCTCAGTTCCCAGCAATAGTTGGATGAAAGTCCCATTTTCTGTTTTCTTAACTGGTCCAATTACAGAGCCATCCACCTTTCCTTGACTTTCTTCACCTTTCAGAAGTAGGAACTGCCCAACCAAAATCACTAATTCAAAGCCTAAAGTCCTTCTACAAACTAGTTTTATGTAGAATGCTATTATCTGACAAGCACACTATCCCCTAAAATTAACATGGTTACATAAAAACACAAATTCAAGTCAATATTATTCACAGTATATCAGAACACACCCTTAACAATGTTATCTTTTTCTAAAAGGTGATACAAAGCATGAACACTAAAGAAATGCTTCAGTTTTGGTACAACGTATAATCATTTAAATTGTGCTGAAATTTTAATAAAATAATTTTTCATGGTAGGACTAATAGCAAAAAAGCAAAGCAATGTCAATTTAACCTAGTGTATATAAACTACTTGCCCAGAGCATTTTAAAAAGAATTCCCTAAAGTATTTTTTTACTATTCCCATTTTAGCCCTTTTATACATAACTGAAAAACATACAAACCTGCAAGAAAAATCTGAATTCTTTTCCATCAGGAGCATTTATTGCTAGACAGTTAATTTGCCTCTCCTCCTCCTCAGCTGTAAAACCCTCAGGGGGTTGGGCTAATGAGTAGCCCTGTGATTTTGGAAAACAGCCCGATCTCCCTTATTCTCAGTTTTATCAGTGAGATGAGGGATTTGGGCCAGAAAGCCACACACAGGTTCTTGTCCAACTCTAAACTTCCTGTCTGTCAAAGTGCATGGTTTTCTGAAATGATGCTAACTGTACTACCGGAGAGGAAAGGAAGCTTTAATATGCATTTATCCTTCAATCAAAAACGTTTTGCAGTGAACTTGGCTAATTACTCGTGGCTTTCACGGAGTAGAGGTTAAGGAGGCGCAGGTGTGAACGTGACTGCAGCCTCTGCTCCAGCCAGACATGTGGATTCCCTGGACCTTCTGGACCTCTTCCTTTCCCGGGAGCGGAAAGCGCTAGGACAGAATGGAAGCCTGGCGGTGCAGGCTGGGTCGGGTCTGAACACGGATCTCGACCTGTGGTAAGCAAGGCCCAAGGCATTCGCTCTACCTGCACTTTCCCCTCCGCCTCCCAAGGCCAAAAGAGAGTGACGAAGTCAGCTCGGTTCAAAGTCTAGGGCAGCCGAGACGTGGCAAGGCGCGACCCCAGCGGGCCTGGCCGGCCGGGGCAGAAGGGTGGGCCCCCGCGGGGTGGGCGCTGGGCCCGTTCACGCCGGTCCCCTTTCTCCACCTGGAGAAGAAGCAGGGGCGCCGGCCGGCCGCGAAGGGCGGGTGACAGGTTCCGGGCTCCGGGCCCCGCGCGCCGCGCCCGCCCGCAGAGCAGACCCCGACCCCCGCGCCC